GCGAGACAGGGTTTCTCTGTTGCTTTGGAAGCTGTCCCTGAACTAGCTCTTGTAGACCAGGCTGGTCTCGAACTCACAGATATTGCCTGCCTCTGCCTCCCGAGTGCTGGGATTAAAGGCGTGTGCCACCAACGCCCGGCGAGCAGTAACACTCTTAACCCCTGAGTCATCTCTCTAGCTCACAGGCATCTCTTGTAAGACACTAGTGTGCTGTGGTGGTGGTGGTGGTGGTGGGGGGGGTGGTGAGCAGTGGTGCTGCTGTCTTATTTTTTCCTGCCCTTTTCCCTAGCTTATCCATGATCCTTTTCAGCCCTTCATTCTATATACTAATCTTTCATTGTTAGCTCCTATTGCTAAGTGGTTCTCATCAATTCCTATGATGAATTATCTGATTGGCCCCACCTAGCCCTTCATTCTAGGTGAAGCAATACTCCCCATTTTATTAATGAACCATCCTTTGGCCAAGTATCCTCCCCCCCCACCCCGCCCCGTCTGACAGAAATGTGGGTAAAGGGTATTGGATTGGGGGACCATGAGAACAGAGTGGGCAGATCACATTTCCTTGTACAAGTATATAGGTAAATCACATATAATCATCAGTGTATACCTATAGCAAAAGGGCGAGTATCCTTGTTGTTTTTCTGATACTGGGGGCTGACCCTAAGGCCTTATTCATGCCAGGTGAGTGTTCCAATGCTGAGCCACAATCTATAGCCATGTATAGGACACTGAAAAGTGCCTTGTGGTGGGATGGCATTGGTGTCTGTCACAGGGCAGAACCACAGGGCTTTTCCTATGAAGTCAGTTTTCACTTTGGCAGAAATGACCATTGTAGGTGGAGTTTTCCTGTGCCGCAGCTGCTTCTCAATTGACCAATATGGAGACTCAATATTAATTACAAATGTTTGGCTGATAGCCCAGGCTTGTTACTGGCTAACTCTTACACTTAAATTAACACATTTCTTAGCTATGCTTTGACATGTGGCTTGGTACCTTTTCTCAGTATGGTGTGCCCATCTTGCTCTCTCTGCATCTCCCAGTAACTCCCTCTCTGCCCCTCTTCATCCCAGTATCCTCAGGTTGATTGTCCTGCCTAACTTTATCCTGCCTTGATATAGGCCAATCAGCTTCTTAACCAATGACAGTAATACACATTTACAGTGTACGGAAGTATTATTCCACAGCAGACCATTGGGATTTAGTTTTCTTTTCTCTCATTTTTCATTTATCTAACTATTTTCTTTTAAAATTGAGGCATACTCTCATGCCTCTGGGCATGCCTGTGAGAGATTATCTGGAGTAGATTGAGGTGGGACCCACCCTAACTGAAGGAGACACCATTCCTTTCTTAGACTGAATAAAAAGGAAAATGGGAGCTAGGCACTAGCATTTATCACCCTCTGCTTCGTGATATAGTCTCTGGCCACCTGAAGCCTCAGAACCCATGCCATACTGCCACGATGGACGATGTCCTAGGGCTGTGAACCAGAATAAGCCTTCTCCACTATGTTGCTTTTATTGGAGTATTTTATCCCAGCAGTGAGACAAGTAACTCACAAACATGGTAAAACTGTCTCAAAAAACAAGCAAACAAACAAACAAATCCTTTCTTTTGCCAATGCTATATTTTCACCTGTTCTCTTTTGATTTAATTTTCTCAATTCTAGTGCTAAGACCCAAATGTTTTATTCTAGTATATTTTTTAAAATTAAGGTTTGAGAAATGGCTCAGTGCTTAAAAGCACTGCTCTTCTAGAGGATCTAGTTTTGATTCCTAGGATCCAGCCAGCATCTAACAACTGCCTGGAACTCCCAATTTCAGGGAATCCCATTCCCTCTTCTGGCATTATTATTATTATTATTATTATTATTATTATTATTATTATTGAGACAGGCTTTCCCTGTGTAACCCTGGCTGTCCCAGAACTCACTCTATACCAGGCTGGCCTTGAACTCAGAGATCTACCTGCCTCTGTCTCCCAAGTGCTGGGGTTGAAGACATGCATTACCACCACCCAGCTTCTTCTGGCCTTCTTGGGCATTAGGCACATGTGTTGTACAAACATCCGTAACACATAAACTAAAAATAAATAAATCTTTAAAAATTTATAAAAGTAGAGGAAATATTTTCTTCCATGTGCTTATCACACTGCTTCATGTTTAAACTTATACCTAATCTTTCAATGATTTTTATTGGCATGAATGACATGTGACTTCATGAGGACTTTTCATACACGTATATAATGTATTCAGTCCTGTGCCTCTGTTGCCCATCCTAACCTTATGCATGCTGAGCCTGGACCCTGCAGAGCTGAACTCCTTGCCTTGTTCTCCAGTTATTTGGAGGCAAATCTCAGATCTGTCACCTCCCTGTCTCTTGAAGACACAGCACTTTAGAGAGTTCTAAGTTTTTAATCTGTGTGGAGTTTACTTTGGTGGTTTGTGCCATTTTAGGAAGCTCATTTTCTTTTCTTTCCAAACAGCTAGCTGTCTCAACACCATATGTTGAGTAATTCAGACTTCTGTTTGCTAGTAAGAGTCACTGTCCTAGTCGGCCATGAAGTTCTTCTGTTCTGGAATCTGAGTTTCTTTCTCCCCTCTGCTACATCATGACATTTGGGCTTGTATTTTACACTTTATGTCACCTGGAAAAGTCACTTAAAACTTGGTTGCCAGTCCAATATGAAAAACCCCAATCTAGTGGAAAATCAAGCATAGAGTTTAAGTGAACCTGTCCGTAATAAGAATATGTGCTTCCTTTCAGTGACCCTTTCAAGTGGAGAGCAGTGATCGGAGCCAATGACCTCTCTCAGAGTAGTACCTACGTCAGGAATATACGGGTAGTAGCCATCGTCATTCAGCCAGACTTCATTCTGGAAACTTTCGTAAATGATATCGCACTGTTCCGTTTAAGGAAAGCCGTGAGGTATAATGACTATATTCAACCTATTTGTCTACCTTTTGATGTTTTCCAAAAACTGGACCAAAACACATCGTGTTTTATAAGTGGCTGGGGAAGAACCAAAGAAGAAGGTAATTATAGTCTGAATTCAACTGCTACACACACACCTTCCTGATTATTGGCAGAGGGAGGGAATCTGCTTACATGTTAATATCCCTGTGTGTATTTCAAGCGATTGATTAGTTGACTAATTAGTTTTTTTAAGTTCTACTATTATTTATTTTTTTAAATATTTTTGAAAAAATATAATTAGTTTATTATGCTAGGGATCAAATTCAGTGCTTTGCATGAGCTAGACAAGCAGTCTACCAGTAAGTTTTATTCTTGCCCCATCATGAATTTATTTTTATTTATTTGTTTATTTTGATCTTTCCAGACAGAGTTCCTCTGTGTAGCTCTGTTCAGCCTGTACTGAACTCCCTCTTGTAGACCAGGCTGGTTTTCCAACTCAGAGAGATCCTCCTGCCTCTACTTCCTAAGTGCTGAGATTAAAGGTGTGGGCCATCACTGGCCAGCCCAAATTCATTTATTTATTCTTACCTTTTTACTCAAAAGCTTAAAAAACTGAGTTTTATAAACTGTGGAAAAGAAAAGTTTTACTTTGTTCCCCCCACCCCTTATGGGAGAGAGAAGTTTCATTGCATAAGCAGCAGTACATAGGAACCTGGTTACAAACACCAAAAACTCTGTAACTGATGGCAGACATTAGGGTGACAGCTTGCTGTTCCTGAAGCCCAGGACTCAGAGTTAACAAGAGAACTGTGACAGAAATGCCCACCTTAAATCAGAAGTTTGGGATGCCCAAGACTGACTATTTAATTTCCTTTTCATTTAATGGCTATGCAGGATTAGGCAGGAGGCTGTGTGTGGTCGTCTCTCACATGGAGTCACTCACTCTATGTTGATCCATAGTTGTGACAGGGAGGACAGAAAAGGCTTCTGGAGCAGAGCATGTCAGTGTCTCAGGCTCCTGCCCCCTCAGTAGCCCTTTGAAAATGCTGCTGCTGCTGCTGTCATTCTGTGTGACAGGTCAGGAGTTTAAGGTTGTCCTAGCTCCATTTTTAATGCTGTGATAAGCCCCACAACCAAAAGCAGTGTAGGGAGGAAAGGCTTTATTTGGCTTATGCATCCCCATCACAGTCTATTATGGAAGGAAGTCAGGCAGGTGGCAACCACGAAGGAAGGCTACTCACTGGCTTGTGTCCATGGTTTCCTCAGCCTGCTTTGTTTGAGTCTTTTGTTTGAGGCAGGGTCTCCCTACAGAGCCCTAGCTGTTCTGGAACTCTTTATGTAGATCAGGCTGGCTTTGAACTCACAGAAATCTACCTGTCTCTGCCTCCCAAGTACTGGCCACCACATCTACTTCAGTTTGCTTTCTTATTGCAGTCAGGGCCTGTGCTGAAAGGTGTACCATCCACAGTGGGCAGGCCCTCTCACATCAGAAAATGCCTAGTGTTACCCACAGGCCAGCCTGATGGAGGGTACTTTTTAACTGGGAGTTCTTCCCAGGTGGGTCAGGCTTGTGTCACGGTGATAAAGCCAGCACAGAGACCACAGGTGTGAAGAACTGAGACTTTATGGAAACAGTGGCCTACATATAACAATCCCAGACCTCGGGGTGGAGGCAGGAGGATCAGAAGTTCCAGGTCTCACTCAGCTATGTGTGAGATCAACTCAAGGCCAGCCTGGGCTCCATGAAATCTTGTCTCAACCTTTAACACCTCCCTGTCCCCATTCTCCCCCTGCTCCATCTATCCTTTACAGAGCAGCAGCTAGGACTCAGATTGAGCTCTTCCTGATCTGAAGCCTAGTCAGGCTTTAACTAGCTGACTGACCTGTTCTGAGAGCATCATAGACCAGTTTGGAGCATTGAGATCCAGCATGGAGATTTGTTTTCCATTGTACATGGGCCCAACAAGCATGGATTTTTTTTTTTTTTTTAAGCAGTCTCAGGTAGCCTAGACTGGCCTGGAACTCACCATGTTGTCAAAGATGACTTTGAGGCTGAGCAGTGGTGGTGCATGCCTTTAATCCCAGCAGTTGGAAGACAGAGGCAGGTGGATACAGTTCAGATAAAACTGGTGTTCCAGCATGGTATACCACAAACACAGCTGAGGCTTCCTACCGAGGACCACCCAACAGGAAGGATACATAGGGCAGGAATGTGTAAAATAGGCAAGATGACTCAAATCAATGGGTAAAGGAACTTGCTAAGCAAGCGTCGTGACCTGAGTTTAATGAGAGAACTGTTTCCACGAAGTTGTCCTGTGACCTCCACACCTGCCCTCTCTGGCTTCATGGGCCTTGTATGCACAGACGTATGTACAGGCAAAACACCCGTATGTGTAAAATAATAATAAAAATAAAATAAATCTAGAATGGAAAAGCAAGCAGGAGTGATTAGATTAATATTATAAAGTAGAGCAGATCAAGTAAAATTATCAGAATGCTGAGGAATAGTGTATAATAATAAAAGGCTCAAAGAAAACACAAAAGGTTCAGTTCCAACTGCAATACACAGACCCAAAGAAGGAAAGGTTTCTCTACTGTGACAGGATCTCACTATGAAGCCCAAGCCAGCCTGTATTCAGTCATCCTAGCCCAGCCTCTCATTGCTGTGGTTACAGCTTGTATCACAGCACTGAGCAACAGAGTAAAACCCTGTCCTATAAACAAAACAAGGGCCAAGCAGTAGTGGTGCACACCTTCAATCCCAGAACTTGGGAGGAAGAGGTAGGCTGATCTCTGGGTTCCAGGCCAGTCTGGTCTATAGAATGAGTTCCAGGATTGCCAGGACTACACAAAAACCCTGTCTCAAAAATAATAATAAGAAGGAGAGAGAGAGAGAGAGAGAGAGAGAGAGAGAGAGAGAGAGAGAGAGATATAAATGCCCAGAGCATTATATTCACAGAGGTGCACTAGAGTTTTACTTGTGGGGTCAGCAAGTGGCTTAGTGGGAAATCGCACTTGCCTTCAAGGCTGATGATCTGAGTTTGATCCCTGGGATCTGCTCGGTGGAGAAGACTGACTCCATATGTAAGCACACATGTGCATAGGCACATACAGTGACAACTTTGATGTATTTTAGTTGCATGAAATCATAGCAGGAGACTACATAAAGAGTAGTACTGGGCCTCTGCCTTATGTATAATATGCAACATACTTTTAGCTACAATCAGCCATAAAATCATTGGGAAATGAGACAACTATAACCAAAGAATTATCTACTTATATTCTAAGCCCTGAAATATTAGAAAACCTGCTAAATGGGATGAGGTGGTGGAAGTTTCTATGTGTAATGATGACTACCACTCCCCTGGATTTGCAGTCTGAATCATACCAAGTCTACAAAGATGTAGACTCAAGCTGAGAATTTAGACAACATGGAGCTGTCTGTCTGGCACCAGATCAAGTGTATGTCACGTTTATAAGACTCCAGTTTCTTCTAAGGCTTTAGAGCATTGCTTCATAGAGGTTAAGGAAAATGAATGGATTACTCTTTTGGTGTTTTGTTTTGTTTTTTAATCATTAAAACTTAGGGAAGCCAGGTGCCATGAGCGAGACTCAGCAGAAAGAGACCTTAAAGAGTTCAGATACCATAGTCATCAGGAAACATTCAAGAAAGGAGAAAGGACCCCGAAGAGCACACAATACTGGAGCTGAGGGAGGAAGAAAGAGCAGTGGTGTAGCCACTGGTCAGTGTCCCTGTCAACAACCCTACAGAACTCATTAGGTCACAAAAGAAAGACATAAAAGTGGATATGGGGGTAATTGGGAAGGGGATGGGGGAGAGGGAGAAAAAACAGGGTGATGGGGTGAATATGACCAAAATATATACATGTAGAACACATGTATTATGTGTAATGATACATGGATGTATCATAAATAAGGCTGGTCAGATGGCTGCTGATAAAGGCGCCTGTCATGAACTGACTCCCACAGTTGTCCTCTAACCCTGACATGTGTGCTAGGACACACATGGGCACACATTAAATAGTTATAATAAAGATTTCCTATTAAATAGTAATTGCCACAAAATACAAAAATACAAAAAAAAAAAAAAAAAGAGCAGCAGATGTAGTTGAGTGGCAGAGGGCTAACATGCTTCCCCACAAAAATACAAAAAAAAAAAAAAGAGCAGCAGATGTAGTTGAGTGGCAGAGGGCTAACAGTACTGTAGGAGAAAGGGACCATGGAGAGGCACAAAGATCACCAAATCAATCAATGTTATTCATAATGAAACCAATAGAAATAGCAAATAATAGATTAAACCCCCAAGGACTTCATATATTATTAATATTTAGATATAGAATATCAAGTAAACATATTTTAGTTCTTTGAAGGAAGAAAAAAAGTAGAATCATAATTTAGTAGATGACTAAATGACCAGGCATGTTTCAATGACAGCCAAATAAAATCTTTAAAAATAAAAACTGTAACAACTTTATTTGGCACTCGCTGGATAAAGAAGAAAGGTGTCATGTGGAAGATGCAGCTGAAGGACCTGCCAAGCCAGCAGAGCAGGAAGGATATGGCTGAAGGGGGAAGAAGACTGGGATGAAGACTGGGCATAACCCCACATCTGTCATCCCAGCACTCAGAGGGTGAAGACGGGAAGGTAAGAGTTCAAGGCTAGCCTCAGCTACACAGTTTGGGACCAGCCTGAGCTATATGAGTTCTTGTCTTTAAAAAGGGTGGTGGTGGAATGCAAATGAATAAAAGAACACTTAGAAAAAACTAAATCTAGGGCTGAGGAGATGGCTCAGTGGGTAAGACCAGCTGTTGTGCAAGCAATGAGGACCTGAGTTCAAATCCTCAGTATCCGTGTGGAAAACAGGACAAAGCCAGGGAGTGCTCCACTGAAGGGGTTGTCCTCAGCCCCTCCCTGTTTTACAAAGCCTCTGAATTCAATAGGTTGATCCCCTCCTCTCTCTCATAAGCACATGCTCTCTCTCTCTCTCTCTCGCTCTCCCCCTCCCCCACACACACACACACACACACACACACACACACACACACACGCCTGATGCTGTTTGAGGATCAAGTAAGGCAGAGAGCAATAGATAAGGACACCCAGGGTCCTCCTCTGGCCACTGCACACAGACAGACATGTGCACTAACTTTGGCTTCTGTTTTTTTTTTTTTGTTTTTAGAGTAAATGTGATATATAAATTTGTCAAAATATAAAATGTGTGCTCTTAGATGACTTGGGTTAAGAGCACTTATCTCTTACAGAGGACCTGGTTCAAGTCCTAGAACTCACATGTTGGTTCACAGCTGAGTTCCAGGGGATCCATTGTCCTCTTGTAACCTCCACAGGCACCAGGCACACATGTAGTACACATTCATACACACATCCAGGCAAACCTCCATACACATAAAAATAAGTCCTTAATATGTATGCTCTCCCAAAGACACATCTACAAGAATGAAAAAGATAATCTTTCAACTCAGAGAGAAAAACATTTGATACAGAAATCCTCTGAGAGGTATAAAGAACTTGTATTACTGAGCCTGGCAATGTTGGTGCACGCCTTTAATCCCAGAACTCAGGAGGCAGAGGCAGGTGGATCTCTGTGAGTTCGAGGACAGCCTGGTCTACAGATTAAGTTCCAGGGCAGCCAGGACTACACAGAGAAACTCTGTCCTGAAAAACAACAAACAAAAACCTAAAACTTGTATAACTCAGTACTAAGTTGTGAGTTCACTGACAATTTGAAAAGATACCTTATCAAAGTAGGCATGCAGATGGCCAGTACTAGGTGAAAAGATAGTGACATCACTGATACCACAATCAGAAGTCACCACACATCTTCTAAAATGGTCACAACCCGAAAGATGGACAATACCAGATCTTGGCAAGGATCTGGAGAAACTGGAACACCTCCACATTGCTGAGGCATGAGGAGGGATGTAAAATGGTGAAAATATGTAAGCAGTTTCTTTTTGTTTGTGAAATAAGAGTCTCCCAGGCCAGACTGACACTTGCTATGTAGACCTGACTGACCTCAAACTTACAGCAATCCCCCTGCCTCAGCTCCCCAAGTACTGAGATTACAGTAGTGTGCCCTCACATCTAGCTTTGGCAGTTTCGACAAAATTTTCACATGCACATACCATGTTGAACACAGCTACTGTATGAGCCACTCTTAGGCATCTCTATCAGATGAGAAACTGCCACAGAAATTCTCATCACAGTGTCATTAAGAAACCCAAGGCAGCGGATCTCTGTGAGTTCGAGACCACCCTGGTCTGCAAGAGCTAATTCCAGGACAGCCTCCAAAGCCACAGAGAAACCCTGTCTCGAAAAACCAAAAAAAGAAAGAAACCCCAAAGTGGAAACCACCTAAATGCCCAGCAAATAGTGATGTGCTGTATATTCCACTGAGTGAGTACTAGTCTACTAGTAAAGTCACAGGGTACTCAATTGTCTACACGAAGGCAGGCTCTGAATCCATCTGCACAGCTTGGGATGTAGCTCAGGAATGTTTGCCTGGCATGCACAAAGCTCTGGGTTCAAACACCAGCTCTGAATAAACTGGGCGAGGATGCAGGCCTGTGGTCCTAGTACTGGAGAAGCAGAACCAGGGGGATCAGAAGTTCAAGATTATCCTTGGCTACATACAAGGCCAGACTGGAATACAAGAGACCCTGTGTAAGGAACAAAACCAACAAAAACCAGGGTTTTGCAGGCTCTCCTCAGCTCATTAGCCCATGTCCATGCCTCATTTAGCAAACATGAATTTTCTTCCATGCCTCTTGCTGCTGCTGCCACCTGGATTTTAGCTAACCTGTATGTTTTTTTCTCTTAAATGCTAATAAAATTCTCCTTAAGATACTTTTGATAAAAACAAAACCCAGTGCTGGAGAGACACCTCGGGGTAAGATCACTGGCTGTTCTTCCAGAGGACCTGGTTTGGTTCCCAGTGTCCACGAGGTGGCTCACAACTGTAACTCTAATCCAAAGGACCTAACCCCTTTTCTGGCACATGGTATACATATATACATGCAGGCAAAAATTCACATCCATAAAAAATTTAAAAATCATTAAAATGTTTAAAAAATAAATCATTGGAATGAACAGTTTAGTAAAATGACCAGGTATAAGACCAATATATACAAGTATGTTTCAGTATTAGCAAAAATTAGAGAATTTAATTTTAAAGTCAGGGACTTGGAATGTATCTCAGTGAGAGAGAATGTCCTAGCATGAATCAGGCCCTGGACTAGCTCGTAGCACAAAAAAAAAAAAAAAATATGTAAATAAAAGTTAATTCAATGCCACACATGGATTGATGATAGTGAAATGTTGGAAAATAAGCACCAAGGAGCTGAAGAAATTTCAGCCTTGCTGCATTGCTGCTGGGATTAATAAAATGGGAAGGCTGCTTTGGAATGCAGTTTGGGACTTCCTCAAAATTGATCCAACTTCACGATTTACACTAGAAAGAGATGGGTGTGCATGTCCACACAGGAACCTGTCTGTAAACATTCATAGCAGCTTTAGAACAGCAAAATGATGGGAGACACAGAAGAGGCCCAACAACTCATGACTGAGTAAACCAAACATAGTACAGCCATTGATTTTTATTTTAGTTTTGAGATAGTCTCACAATGTAGGTCTAGAACTTTCTCTGTAAACCAGGCTGTCCTTAAACTCAGAAATCTTCCAGATTCTGCCTCCAAAATTCTGGGATTAAAGATGTGCGTCACTATCTATACCCAGCATTTATTTCCTTGGTTTATTTGTTTGTTGTTATTTTTCAAGACAGGGTTTCTCTGAGAAAAAGTCCTGGATGTCCTGGAACTCACTCTGTAGACCAGGCTGGCCTGGAACTCAAAGAGATCCATCTGCTTCTGCCTCCTGAATGCTGGGATTAAAGGTATGTGCCACCACCACCCAGCTTTTTCCTTTTTTTTAAGGGCATGCACCACCATGCCTAGCTTATTATTTTATTTTGTTGTTTTGAGACAGGGTCTCTATATATCCCTGGCTGTTCTGCAACTTACCATGCAGACCAGGCTGGCTTGGAACTTACAGAAGTCTGCCTGCCTCTGCCTCCTGAGTACTGGAACTAAAGTGGTGCCACTGTAGCCAGAATTCATTTATTTTATTTTTAATTGTGTGTATGCCTGTGTGTGCATGTGTGTGCAGTGCCCCCGGAGACCAAAGGGATTGTCAAGTCCCCTGGAGCTGGCATTACAGGAGGTTGGGAACCACCTGATATGGGCATGGGAATCAAACTCAGGTCCTCTTCAGAGTGGTGTTTTTAACCCCTGAGCCATCTCTCCAACCTTCTTATTCATTTTTTTAGTAATTTCAGGTAATGTAATGCTATTAAACTACACAAAGGGGTGGAACACTGGCACATAAATCAACATTATCCTAAGTGGAATGAGCCAGACAGAAAGTGCAGTATAGTCCACAGTAAAAAGCCTCAAATGGGCAAGCCATGGACAAAGTAGATGAGTGGCTGCGAGCACCCAGGGGCATTGGGGAAAACAAACTTTGATTCAATGATAGATAACATTTTATGTAACCTGTCCATTTAGTGAGGCAACCAATTGAGGTCTCATTAAATGCCCACACTTTAATTTTTCATGTCTTATTTTTAAAGACAAGAGCTCATGTAGTCCAGGCTGGCCTTAAACTCACTGTGTATCTGAGGATGACCTTGAACTTCTGACCCTGCTTCTCCTTCCTGCATGCTGGGATCACAGGCATGCATCACCACTCGTGGCTTAGGCAGTATTGGGGGACCGAACCCAGGGCTTTGTGGGTGCTTGGGAGACATTCCACCAAATGACCTACACACCACTGCCATTTTTATTTTTTGAGTCTAAATCTCACTCTATGGCACAGGGTAGCCCTGAACCAATAGTAATCCTCCTGCCTCAGCCTCCTGAGTGCTAAAATTACATCTGTGAGTCACCATGCTTGTGCTACACACCAACATTTAAATCATTGTAAAAAATGCCTGTAGTTATTAAGACATAACTTAAAGAGCTTTGTTCCATCTGCTGCTGACAGGCAATGGTACAAACATCCTACAAGAAGCGAAAGTGCACTTCATTTCTCGAGAGATCTGTAACTCTAAGATGAGCTATGGAGGAGTGATCCCTAACACTTCGTTCTGTGCAGGTCACGAAAATGGGACTTTTGACACGTGCAGGGTAAGACCAATACTTCCCTCTCTGAGAGGTCTTCTATAGCCAGGAGGGACCTGAGCAGAGGCCTTAATCATCAGGCTAATACAAAATTTTTTTTCCTACCCCAATAATCCAAACCTTGGATCAGATTTCCTGGTTCTTATCCCCATCAGTTTTAAACACAGGCAAAATCTGCCTTGAATCTGCCCTCCTCCTCTGCTGCTCCTCTCATTGTTATAAAATTTTGTCTTAATGTGTCTTGCCTGAATGTTTTTTCCCCCTTGTATTGTGTGTGCCTAGTGCCTGAAGAGGCCAGAAGAGGGCATCAGATTCCCTGGAACTGGAGTTACAGACAGTTGTGAGCTGCCATATAGGTGCAGGGAACTGAATCTTGGTCCTCTGGAAGAACAGCCAGTGCTGTTAAGCATTGAGCCATGTCTCCATTTTTTATCATCACCCAGAAACATTTTCTTCCCTTTTTAATTTCACCCAGAACCACAATGCACCCACGCACCCCAAACAGTATATAATCCAGCAGATTTTTTTTTTAGAAGTGTGCAACCATCACCTCAAGTCCAACTTTAGAACTTTTTGTCATCACCAAAAGAAACCTTCCTCATTAAGAAGCATGGGTCATGGCTGGAGAGATGGCTCAGTAAAGTGCTTGCAGTGCAAGCATAAGGGTGTGAGATCAGAGCCTCAGAACTCTCGAAGACAGCAGGACATGTTATGTGCCTGTGATCCCCATGCTCCCACAAGGAGATGGGAAACAGACAGGGGATCCCCAGAAGTCTGCAATAAACCGAGACCCTGCCTCAGACTAGAGGCAGGGAAGACCAAGCTGAGGTTATCCTCTGACATCTACACATTTGCCATGACATCCATAGAACACTTGACAATGATCTGACCTCCACACATGTACGTGCTCACACACACACACACACACACACACACACACACACACACACACACACACACACACACACACAGAGAGAGAGAGAGAGAGAGAGAGAGAGAGATCACACCTTGTTCTCTGCCCACCCATCCCACACACAGGCAGATACTAATCTGTAGGACTAGATATCCTTGCCATCTGTGGTCTTCCATGACTAGCTCTTTCATTATCATGATTTCAGGGTTTTGCCCAGTCTGGAGGATGCATTAGCACTGACTAGGAACTTTTCTCATTGCATCAGCACGATATCTAAAGCCACCAAAGGCAGGAGGGCTCATTTTGGCTCACAGATGAGGGGACAGAGTCTGTAATGTACAGAAGGCAGGAGGCAGGAGTGTGAGGCTCTTGGTGACCTGTTGTCTGCAGTCAGGAAGAAGAGGGTGACAAATGCTGTTGCTCCTCTGTAGTCAGTCCAGGGCAGCAAACACCATGTCACCGGCTCTGAGTATATAACCCTGGATGTGCCATTTGCAAGCATTTTCTCCTGTTCTGTCAACTCTATCTTGTTGCCACTGCTGCTTTGTCTGGTCATTGTTTGTTACTTTACACTGGGGATCAAACCCAGGGCCTTCACGTGTTAGGCAGTGTTCTACCACTGACCTATATTTCTCATTTGTTGTTATTAACTTGTTTTTTGACACAGGATCTCACTGAATAGCTTTGGCTGGCCTAGAACTCAGATTTGCTTGCTTTTGCCTCCTGAGCATTGGGATTAAAAGTGTGCAACCCCTATACCCAGTTTTGTGAAGAATATTATTTGGACCTTGAGTTTCCAATTTTTTATGAATCCAATTTCCTTTTTGCCTTTTCTTTCCTGGCTTTTTCTCTTTCCATGTTGGAAACTAAACCTAAGTGCACATTGTGCCGCAAGTGACATGCCAGGTTCTCTGTGCTTGGCTTCTTATGCCTGTTACTATTTCCAAACCTGCCAGCCCTATACTTGCACAAAAATATTCTGCACCCTCACATTTTTCTCTTCATTCCTATTTCTGCAATCTAAAGTTTGCTTCCTCTGTTCCTTTTGTTTTTGTTTTTTGAGACAGGGTTTCCCAGTAGTTATGGATCCAGTCCTGGCACTCACTCTGTAGACCAGGCTGGCCTCAACCTCACAGAGATCCACCTGCCTCTGCCTCATGAGTGCTGGGATTAAAGGCATGCACCATGACCACTCAGCGTTTCCTCTGTTCTTTTCCTTAAGAATCTTTATGAATGAAATTTGGCTTAAATTAATTGCATTCCCTGGCACTCATCATCAAAAACAATGATTTCAATAACCATTCAATGGCTGCCCAGTATAAAGAACTGTTAACACTCAGAGCCAGTCCTTAACCTGTGGATACTGAGATGGTGGCCTTCACATTCTTCCTGCTTTGAGGACATTACTAGCAATCATGACAAGCACTTTTGGGTGCACTGATGGTCTTGTATAAACATTGAGGGGCTGGTTGGGCCATGACACCCTTGACAGTCCACCCGTACCCCTTTCTTCCTGCAGTAGCTGATCTCAACACTTAACATTCCATCCCTTGTGGATGACAATGTGTTCTTCTCTAGGTAGCTAACGGCACACACTCTTCTCACATCAGTAGAGACCTTTCCCACACAGTGGCAAAGCAAACATTCTGAAGAACAGTGATTTCTCAATCTTTTGTATTCTTCCTAAATTATTTTTCTCCAGAGAACTGTGTTTTAAAATCCAACCAATTTTATTTATAGTGTTGTGGTTCATAGCCATGCGATGACTTGATACTCCAGGGTAGCACACCTCTTGTCTGAGTTGGACATTAAACTGACCGTGTCCTGATTTTCCAAAGCATTCTATTAACATGTTAGGGGTGTCTTAGTAATGTGTGTGGCTGGGGGCTCCAGCTCCCGGCGATGCATCCTGATGTGAAGCACAGTGAGCTACTGCCTGAAAGGACACCTGCATTGCCCTTGGAGTATACCGAGAGGGAATAGTCACAGGAACAGGTGTGGTGTAACTAAGTTGTCTCAATGTAAGAAATGATAAATACATCTTGGATTTTAACAGGGTGACAGCGGTGGACCACTCATGTGCTATTTGCCAGAACACAAACGGTATTTTGTGATGGGAATCACCAGTTATGGACATGGCTGTGGGCGGAGACATTTTCCTGGCGTCTACAGTAGCCCATCCTTCTTCAAGCAGTGGCTCACAGAACATCTGTCACAGGGAAGTACTACTCGAGTGTTTAATATGGACATGGTGCGCTGTCAGATCCTTATGGCCCTGGGCGCCATCATCCTCCTAGGAGTTACATAAAGAGACACTGAAGGCTGCGCCCTGTCATTCTGTCCCTTGTTTGGCTGTGTTTGGCACAAGAAGATCGTATTTTTAATCTCTCTTTAGAGGTCTCACACCAACATTGTTTTTTGAACAAAAAGGATTGTGACAGACACACAGTTGTGAGTTTCAGCACCCAGTCACAGGCCTCCTTCCTAGGACCTGACTGTTTTGTTGTTTAATCACAATTCTGTATTTGGAATACTCTCCTAGAGTTTGTATGAATTATTCAGTTCACTTTGTGCTTTATGTGTATGAACGCCAATAAACAGTTCATAGTTTAACTGAAAAAATGTTTGTTAAACTAATCAAACACATTTTAAGTTGGATTTTATTTGACTTCCTTAGCAGTTTGGGTGTGGTAGCAGAGAGACATTACGGTCACTTGGGTCCACTGTTTCTGGGCCTGAGCTGAGACAGATGTGATGATGGTGAGAGAGGCTAAGCCAAGATGCTCCCTCATGACAGCCAGGAGCAACAGTGGGGCTAAGGCAACATTTTCATGAACTACAGATATCTAAAACTCATTTTTGTATGTATTTTGAGATGAGGAGTCACTATGTAGCTCAGGCTAGCCTCAAGTTTAAGATTTTCCTGCCTCAGCCTCTTGAGTGCAAAGATTACAGGTATGAGCCACTGCCTCTGGCTAAATATTTGTAAAGTACATAATAGAAAGGAAAATTTCCATAGCCCTATCTAAGATGTCGACCACGAAATCCTACCTTTTCATTTATTTTCATTATTTCATGCCAGCTATTCTGATAGTTTTCCAAGTATTCAATAGTAGAAAAAAGTTTATTTCCTCATACTAAAATCATATTCTCAGATTCTCCCTCTATACACACACACACACACACACACACACACACACGCGCGCGCGCGCGCGCGCGCGCGCGCGCATGCACACATGCACGCACGCAGGCTATTTAAACAATTGACTAAACACTTCCCAAACTTGGGAAGTAAGATGGCTGTCCAGATTCATGAAGCCCATAAGTCCTCAAAAAGTTGAACCAAAGGACACCAAGACATATAATAATTAAATTGTCTAAAGTTAAAGAAGAAGTTTCAAAAGCTACAAGGGGGAAAAAAGTCTGTTAGACTGTCGGCATGCCCCTCAGCAGCCATCCTGAAGGGAAGGAAAGAATGGAACATTTTGAAAATCTTGAAAGAAGAAAACATAACAACGACAGAAACACAGGCTCCTTAGACCCAGCAGAGCTGGGCTCCAGAATGACAAGGCTGGAGAGCAGGTCAGTGGAAACTGCTTGCTTGGCATGTGTGGTGCTGGGTCCAGTCTCCACTACAAAAGAAAAGGAGAAGGAGGAGGGAGGAGGAAGGTGGGGGAAGAGAAAGGAGAAGAGAAAGAAGAAATGATGACGAAATATAGGTGTTTCCAAATAAGTGCAAGCCGAGTGAGCTCACCACCATCCTTGCCTGTGAGACATGCTATAAGCAATTCAAGCTTATGAAAGACTGTTTATTATTACCACAAATTACACAATGTACAAACTCACTGGAAAAGGTTAAGTACACAGACAAATCCAAGATCCTGGAATTTCACAACAGACACAGACACACACACACACCAACTTCAATCGGTATAAAATTACTGCAGCTGGGCATAGTGGCCCATGCCTATACTCCCAGCACTTGAGATGCTAAGGCAGGAGGATTGGGAATATAAGACTTGTCTGGCTACATAGCAAAACTCTGTCTCAAAAATAAGCAAATGACTAGGGACAATTATCTACAATTATGCATTACATAATGTTTTGCCATTGTTGAGATGGGGTGTTATGGACCCCAGTCTGGCCTTGACCTGATGATCCTCCTGCCTTGGCCTCCCGACTGCTGGGATCACGAGGCATGGACCACTACACCAGGCATTGTATCTTAAAGACATAAATCATAATATTAATGCCCTAACATATAAGTAAAGGTAGGGCTTAAATATATAGTGGTTTTTGTATATTAAGTTAGAATTTATAGCTATAAAATGTTTCATGTCCACATCATGGTTTTATTTGGTTGGTTTTTTGAGACAGGGTTTCTCTATGTAGCTCTGGCTGTCCTGGAACTCACCCTGTAGACCTGGCTGGCCTTGAACTCACAGAGATCCACCTTCCTCTGCTTCCCCAGTGCTGGGATTAAAGGCTGCCACCAGGCTGCACATCATTGTTTTACTAAAAAATAAATAAATAAATAAATAAATAAATAAATAAATAAAAATAAATCTATAACAGAGAGCCAGTGAGATGGCTCAGCAGGTGTTTGCACTTGCTGCCAAGACTCTGACAACCTGCCTATGATCCCTGGGACCTACAGAAGAGTACAAAGTAAAGAATCAAAGCAAACTGTTGTGGAGTTTTCAGTGTCAACGCCTGGACCTGCAGCCTTCCCAAGCGAGGCTAACTAAAGAGATGTCATAGTGAAAAGTAGAGGAAGGAAATGTAGGTTGTTCAGCCACACTAGGGAGAGGAACAAAGAGCCCAAGATGACTAAGTCCATCTTCGGGGTCCTGACCTCAGGTTTGGGTTTAAACAGAGAGAAAAAGTCATACTTAACTAAGAAGTCCTCATCAAGATGTGGCCCTGCCCACCAGTGGCCCAGCCCATCCTGCACAGTGACCAAGCAGTTGACAGCACTGTGTGCAGTCTCTTCCTGGGAGACAAGATCTTCCTCGGAAAGCACCAGAAACTGCAATTCCTTGGGGCCCATTGTTTGAACAGCCAGAGGGAGGGACACCCGCTCTACAGAGAATCTCTCCTGCCAAGGTAAGTATGTCAAATCACTCAGGAAGACAGAAATAAGGAAGAATCAGAAAACAGCCAGCAGAAGGGTAGTAGTGGGTTGGAGAGATGGCTAAGTGGTTAAGAGCACATACTACTCCTGCAGGGGAACCGAATCGGGTTCCAACACTCCTGTCAGGTGGCCCACAGCCACCTGTAACTTTAGCTCCACGAGGATCTGCTGCCTCTGGCCTCTTTGAGCACCTTTACACACATGTGTGCATACACACACACACACACACACACACACACACACACACACACACACACAAACACACACAATACAATTAAAAGTAGATCTTAAAAATTTCTAAAGCAACAGTAAGTTCCATTTTGAATGAAAATGCCCCCATAGGCTCACAGGGAGTGGCATTATTTGAAAAGATTGGGACATGTGGCCTTATTGGAGTGTGTCACTGGGAGTGGGCTTTGAGGTTTCAAAAGCTCAAGCCAGCCCAGTGGCTCACTCTCTTCCTGCTGCCTGATGATCCATATATAGGCTCCTTCCGCGTACTACATCTGCCTGCATGCCACCATGCTTCCCCCGTGATGATAATGGACTAAATCTCTGAAACATAAATCAGCCCCAATTAAATTCTTTCCTTTATAAGAGTTGCTCTAGAGCTGGGCATTTGTAGAACATGCCTTTAATCCCAGCACTCAGGAGATAGAGGCAGGTAGATCTTTGAGTTTGAGGCCAGCCTGGTCTACAGAGTGAGTTCCAGGACAGCCCAGGCTACACAAAGAAATCCTGTCTCAAAGCAAAAAAACAAAAACAAAAACAAAAACAAAAACGAAAGAAAGAAAGAAAGCCAACTATAATATACCTTAGCTTTAACATGTCAGATAAATTTAACCAAAAATGACTATGTGGAGTTATATTTTGCAAAATGGACTTTAAGTAAAAACTTGTCACAGATAACACAGTCCTTATTTAGTGATAAAGGGACCAGATTATCAAGAAGACATAAGTATTTATGCTCCCAGAATCAAGTTTCCAAAGCACACACTAATGGCTGGAAAGAAGGGGCTGTTGCCTGGCTTCATTTCTGTTGTTGTTACTCTTTCAGGCAGTGCTGGAGACCCAGCCAGGGCCTTTCAATGCCAGATGAGTACCCTGTCACTACATCCCCCTATAATAGGGGACTTTAATATCTTGCTCTTTCTTAACAATAGACATGGCAGAGCTCAAAGGTGAGTAGGGGCCCTGAAGAGCACAAGTAAAAGGAAGTGATACACATAGAACAGACACACAAAGGTTCTTCCCAAGTCCATACGGCTCTTACTACATGGTATATCACACACAAATCTTAGATCAAGTAAATTTCCTACAATGAATGAACCAGAACACACCTAGAAAGAAAACCAGACATTTCCCCCAAATCTGAAAATTAAGCAACATATTCATGAACAACTGTGGAGGTTTGAAAGAAAATGACTCCCATAGGGAGTGGCAGCATTGACTGCTGAGTTAATTTCCCAGCAACCACATGGTGGCTCACAACCATGTATAATGAGATCTGGTGCCCTCTTCTGGTCAGCAGGCATACATGCAGACAGAACACTGTATACATAATAAATAATAAATAAATAAATAAATAAATAAATAAATAAATCTTAAAAAAAAATTCAGCTACCAGCCAGTTGTAGTTGCACACACCTTTAATCCCAGCATAGTGGAGGCAGCGGCATGTGGATCTTGGTCTACAGAGTAAGTTCCAGGACAGCCAGGGATACATAGTTAGCCTTCCTTCCCACCTCTCAAAAACAAAACAAAGTTTAGTTACCAACATCTCTATCTCCACTTTTGGAGTTTTTTTTTGGGGGAGGGGGTGTTTGCTTGTTTGTTTTGTTTTTTGAGACAGGGTTTCTCTGTGTAGCCTTCTAAACCTTGCTGGCCTTGAACTCCCAAAGATTTGCCTGCATCTGCCTCCTGAGTGCTGGGATTAAAGGTTCGCACCACCACCTCTAGGGTTCTCCTGTGGTTTTATCTTACCAGGTTATGTGGTGAGAATGGAATCGAATGGCCCACATAGACTCATATGTTTGAGTGCTTGGGCCTCAGTTAGTGGAACTGTTTGAGAAGAATTAAGAGGTATGGCCTTGTTGGAGGAGGTATGTCATAGGGCAGTGGGGGGTGGGGGGGGTAAGGGGTGGTCTTTGAGGTTTCAAAATTCTATACCATTACCAGTGAGCTAGCTCTCTCTCCACCCCCCTTTGCCTTGTGCTTGTGGATCGGATCCGAGCTCTCAGCTACTGCTCCAGTGCCATGTCTGCCTCCTGCCATTGTGATTGTGCCATGATGATGGATTTATACTCTGGAATATTAATAACCCCTGACAAATCCCTGGTTATGGCCAGCAACAAAAAGTAACTAAGACAGGTTACAATTCTTTCCATGAGTCGTCTACAAAAAAAAAAAAAAAAAAAAAAAAAAAAAAAAAGAGGAAAAGAAAAAAAAGTTTCTTAGCAACCCTTGACAGGTGGTGTTCAGTCTACCCCAATTGCATAAATGGCAACCACTCAGACATTTAAGTTTGGCTCTCCTTGGCCCTGCCTTGTTCTTTTCCTGGGCTTTTTTCCTATTAATAAACTCCCCTCCACATCCACCCCCTTCCTTAAATCTAAAAATCTTTAGCTCATTTGGGAGAGCACTTGCTGCCTAGATTTGGCACCCACTGCTGTGTAAAGTTTGCATGGTGACAGGAGCCTGCAATCCCAGCACTCAGGAGGTAGAGGCAGGAAGATGGAGTCCAAGCTCATCCTTAGCTATACAATGATGCCTGAGGTCAGCTAGGCTACATGAGACCCTGTCTCAAAAAAACAAAACAAAAAACCAATACAATTAGGGGTAGGATAGCACGATGGCTCAGCAGGTAAAGGCACTTGCTGCCAGTCCTGAGAGCCCAGAGACCTGACTTCCAGGACTTGTCACCTGACCTTCACACATGTACTGTCTCAGGTGTTTGAACACAGTCCCCATTTGCTATCTGTTGAGGGAGGATTAGAAGGTGTAGCCTCACACCTTTAATCCCAGCCTCAGGAGACAGAATTCCAGGCTAATCTACCGAATTCCAGGACAGACCATGGTTGGGGGGGTTGGGGGGAGAACTGTGGCCTCACTGAAGGAAGTATGTCACTATGGGTGGGCTGACGGGGATGTCCTTCTGTATATTGGCTCATGACTAAAACACGGACTGACCAGTAGCCAGGTAGGAAGTATAGGTGGGGCTACCAGGTGAGAATTTTGGGGAGGGAAGGCAGAGAGGAGCTGCCAGAGAGATGCCATGTAGCTGCTGAAGGTGTAACAGGGTCCAGGCATTCTCCGGTAAAATAAGACCAAGTAGAAATACATAGATTAGTAGTTATGTGTTAACAATTAAGAGAGAGCTAGCCAGTAAGAAGCATGAGCCATCGGCCAAACGGTTTATAATTAATATAAATCCGTGTGTTTATTTGGGGCTAAACGGCAGTGGGACCAGGAGGGAAAAAAACTGTCTACAGTGGGCCCCGAGGTTCACTTCAAGGGTCTGTCTTCATGCTTGCAATTTCAGATGGGAGTTCTTAGCCATTCCTGCCACTATGATTTTTATGATATTTTGTTTGTGTTCTGACAAAGTTTGCTTGGAGTCAGAGGGTTGAAGCCAGCCACTAGCTGACCATAGAGGTGTGGAGGACTGTAGAGAGAGGACAGAAGTGGTAAGGCAGGGCTGAGACAGGGTTTCAGTCTTTTTGGTCAGAGGAACCAGAGAGGCAGGAAGAGACTGTGGCTGCCCCCCTACTTTTGATTTTTCGGGTTTTTAACCCTGATATCTGACTCCTGATTTTTATTGATAAGATTAATGAGATTTAGGCTTCACCATGACACCTTCAATCTCACCAGGCTGTCATTCAGTCATCATGGACTCTACCCCTTTGGAACTGTAAGCCAATTAAATGCTCTAAGTTGTTTTGGTCATGGTGTTTTATCACAGCAACAGGAAACAGTTTTGGTGTGTGTTGGTGTGCTCAAAAGCAAACACACACATACAATGGTAGAAACAGGGTCTCACTGTGTATCCTTGGCTGGCATAGAACTATGTAGAACAGACTGTCCTCGAACTCAAGATCCACCTGCCTCGACCTCTCCTGAGATTAAAGACGTGTGCCACCAGGCCCAGCCTCATAATAGCTTAATTTTCATAGCTCCAAACTGGAAATAATTCAATCATATACCAACAAGTGATGAGATAAACAAATGTAGGGTATGACAAATAATGAAACAATAAATTGGCCCCTGAATCCATCAGCTGCTTTAAAAAAACAAAACAAAAACAAAAAAACAAAAAACAAAAAACACATGGCTGGCTCAGTTCGAAAAAGCACTAGCCAAGCACCCAGTGCCCTGGTGTACACCCTTAATTCCAGCACTCCTACAGTGACTAGAGGCAAAGACAGAATTGTCTAGAAGTCAGCGGGCCAGCTGGCCTGGGGTGTTGCGCACAGCTGTGGAAACAAGAGACCCTTCCTCAGCAAGGTAGAAGTGGATTCCACTGCTGAAACTTGTCCTTCTACCTGGGTGCTTCGCATGTGCACACACAATTAAAAAAAAAAAAAAGCTAGGCAGTGATGGTGCCTTTAATCCTAGCACTTGTGGGGTAGAATTAGGCAGATCTCTGAGTTCTGAGCCAGCTTGGTCTACAGAGTAAATTTCAGAACAGGCAGAGCTACACAGAGAAACCCTGTCCTGAAAAACCAAATTAATAAATTTAAAATTAAATTAAACTGCATATGCTCCAGCACACACATATTGAATAGTTGTTATATTTTTGTTTTGTTGTTTTATTTTTGGTTTTGAGACAGATCTCTCTACTCTATGGTCTGGGGTTGGGGGTAGGTTGAGGCAGGTTCCTAGGTCACTGTATACTTGACTGAGTACTTGCCTGGCATGCATGAGGCCCTGGACTCAGTCCTTAGTGCCACCCACATCCACCACCAAATAAAAGAAAGACCAGAAAGAACACAGCTCAGCCAGTCCCTGCCACTCTTATGCTTTAGGGGGTGAGTTTTCTCCTCTGGATGCTGCGGCTATGCCTCACTCTGCTTCATCCGGAAACCTGTGGAGTAATGTTCTTGATCTGATTTGCAGAAGTGTGTGTGTTATTTATTAGTTTTGCAATTCTTCTAGTTTGTGTCTATGATGCTATTGCCATTCACATATCAGAAGCTCCATGCTTCACTTAGAATTGCTTCAACAGTTCACTTAATTTCATGAAGACCTGTAAGAGTGCACATAAGAAATGGAAGCAAACAATTAAGTAGCAAATTATCTTCTTGTAAGCTTATGACTCAGCAAATAATTCAAGAAGTCCATGCAGCCTGGGCTTTGTGACTGAGGCCTGTGATCTCCACACTTAAAAAGGCTGAAACAGGATCAAGACTTCAAAGCCAGCTTGGGCTAAGGAGACCCTGCCTTTGTCAAAACAAAAACAAAAACAAAACACAAACAAAAAACCCTCAAATAACCAGATAGGTGCTTACAGCTATTTTATAAAACCCACCGGCTCCAAATGTGAATCCTCTGAGCACTAGTTTACTCTGCATTGGCTGTTATATAATAACCGAGTATAACAAAGGTGAAGACTGACAATTGCACTCTAAATGATAGGCGGGTCTAAGAGTGATTTAGTAGAGATTCCTCTGATTAATTATTAACTTATGATAGCCTCCCTTTAGAAGAGAACTTGGGAAATTGTTGACTGAGACTAGGCGAGGTTCCCTTTCACTTCCTTTATTTAAAAAAAAAAAAAAAAAAGGACGTGTGCCGAGTGTAGTGGGGAGAGAGAAAGGGAGACTAAATTCGGATACAGGGGTCTCAGCAGCTACATATCCCCGGGTGCTCTTCTCAGTAAAGACTTGGGTGGGTAGCCGGGTGGGTGGGGTGCAAGGACACACACTGCTCACAACCTCAGCAGGAAACTTGCTGCAGCCTTGAGATCCAAGGAAGGTCAGGCAGGACCAGATCGGAATTAAGGCTGCAATCTTCCGAGGGAGATGCTGTGGACAGCCCTAGGCCAATACGCACCCAGCTGTGCCAACTTCTGCCTGAGCGCTGGGTAGGGTGGGGTAGGGAGATCGAGGTTTTGTTTTGTTTTGGGGCTAGGCGGCTCCTCCTCCTTCCCTGATTGGTTCTGGAGTTTGGCCCGGAGCCTGCGCCCTGCTTCTCAAGGGGACTGTTCCTGGCCGAGGCCCTTTCTCCTCCACTGGGCCACCACGATGACGCTCGCTATCCTGGTCCTCCGATTGATCGTGGGCATCCTGGCATTTCCCATGTATCTGCTCAACCTTTTAGGAGTGTGGAACTGGATATGCAAAATGTGGTTTCCCTACTTCCTGTCGCGGTTCACGGTGATGTACAACGAGCAGATGGCGAGCAAAAAGAAGGAGCTCTTTAGCAACCTTCAGGAGTTTGCGGGCCCCTCGGGGAAGCTGTCACTGCTGGAGGTGGGCTGTGGCACCGGGGCCAACTTCAAGTTCTATCCCCCCGGGTGCAGGGTGACCTGTGTCGACCCCAACCCCAACTTCGAGAAGTTCTTGTACAAGAGCGTCTCAGAGAACCGGCAGCTGCAGTTCGAGCGCTTCGTGGTGGCGGCCGGCGAGAACATGCACCAAGTGGCCGATGGCTCTGTGGACGTGGTGGTCTGCACCCTGGTGCTGTGTTCAGTGAAGAACCAGGAGAAGATTCTGCGCGAGGTGTGTCGAGTTCTGAGGCCGGTGAGTGACAGATGAGGACTGGCTCATAGCAGCTCTCACGAGCAAGGGTGGTCCTGTCAATTTCAGGAGGATTCTAAACTAAAAGGCAAAAACTATCAAGGAAAGTTTCTTTTTCTTTTTCTTTTCTTTCTTTCTTTTTTTTTTTTTTAAGAAAATAGTGGCAGAGAATTACATAGGTAAGGGCTGACAAATCAGAATTTATAAATTTCTAAACTGCTGCAGAGGCAACAGCCAGCAGACTGCTCAGATGTCAAATCTGGTAACAGTAGCTCCTAGGAGAAGCTGAAGGCTTCATGCCCTTGAATTAAAAAACACTACAAGTGCCAGCACTGGGGAAAATAGAGGTAGGCTGATCTCTATGAGTTCGAGGCCAGCCAGGGCTACGCAAGGTCATTAAAAGAACATTTGCATTAGTGGAAACTGGAAAAAACCTGTCTGTGGAGGGGAGATTGTCACATAGTCAGGAACTTTGTAGCTATTAAAAAGTTCAAGAGCTGGGTGTGGTGGTACACACACATAAACCCAGCCATGGTCAGTGTGTCAGAGGCTTAGGGGGAAGGAAGGCAAGCCCCGATGTGCAGCAAGCTCAAAGCCAGTCTGAATAATATAGTAAAACTATAAAAAACAAAACAGAACAACAACAACAGTAGTGAAAACAATTAAACCAAACAGAAGACAAAAAAAAAAAAAACCCAAAAAAACAAAAAACCCAAGCCTCCAAAAAGAGTGATCTATGCTGAGTAGGAAAGAGAAGAGTGCCCAAGAAATACAATATGTTCATGCAAAAGATAGAATGACCAGTAATGCCTATTACCTCCAAGAAATGGGACTGGGTGAGGGCAAAAGCAATGGTTGATTCTTTGTGCCTTTCTAAAAGTCCAAAGAAATTCCTTATACTTGTGATTATCAGGTTAAGTGGGTTTATTTAGAGCAAAGCTGAACATGAAGGGAGGTGGTCCTAACTCATTCAATTGGCAACACGTAGGGATGTTCCGTGAGCCCGTGTAGTCCTCCTAAGGGCAATATTGCTGGCTGAATAAAACCTAAGGATGAAGCCGGGCATTGGTGGTGCACGACTTTAATCCCAGTACTCGGGAGGCAGAGGCAGGCGGATCTCTGAGTTCAGGGCCAGCCTGGTCTCCAGAACGAGTGCCAGGATAGGCTCCAAAGCTACACAGAGAAACCCTGTCTCAAAAAAACAAAACACAAAACAAAACAAAAAACCTAAGGATGAAAAGCTGCCCCGGGTGTCAGTTCAGTCCCTGGAGCGCCTCCTGTAGGCCCCTGCTCTCCTTCACAGCTGCTGTGTTCCTATCGTCTCTGTGGCGCAAGGACAGGTGGATATAGAACCAGCAGGTACTTATGATCCTTGCTTTGGAAAAGACATTAAGAAATGCACCCAAGACCCAAGTTACACAGCAATGGGTTTAACTTTTTTTTTTTTTTTTTTTTTGAAACCATGTCTCATTCTCAGTAATTAGTGGTAGGCTGGTCTGAAACTCTGTAAGTAGACCAGGCTGGCCTCGAACTCACAGAGATCTGCCTACCTCTGCCTCCCCAGCACTGGTTTTTTGTTTGCTTGGTTTTTTTTTTTTTTTTTTTTTTCCCCAAACAAGTTTTCTCTGTATAACACCTCTTGCTGTCCTGGAACTTGCTCTGTAGACCAGGCTAGCCTTAAACTCACAGAGATCCGCTTGCCTCTGCCTGCCAAGTACTGAGATTAAAGGTGTGAGCCACTACTGCCTGTCCCAAGTACTGGGTTAAAGACGTGTGCCACTACACTCCGCCCACGTCTAGCTCTTCAGTGAGAATATTGCTGCTTGTCATATCAGGACATCATCATTCCTACCCCTTTGCTGTCCTTAGACACTGAGGGTCTCTTCCTTGGCTCACTTTCCCCAACAGTCTGTGTCCCCAGTGTTTTCAGCTGTGTGCCTGCACAGATTAACACCCATCCAGAGATTGCTCAGCCCTGCCATGCCTTGCCACGCCATGCCCCGTCCTGCCCCGCCCCACTCCTGGATTATTCACAGGCATACCCAAACCAACTGGTCTCTCTGCTTTTCCCGCCCATCTCCTGCCCTAGCTTGAGGAAATAACATGTTTTTGTTTTTCATTTTTATTAGGAAATTTGGTTTTCTATTCCTAAACATATGTTTTACTTGAACTTATCTGTATAATTTGGGGTAACTATATCCCTAAACTCTGAATTCCCCGTAACTCCACCTTTGGGTAGCCAGAACCAGAATAGCTTGAGAAGGAGGCCGACAAAAAAAAGGGGGGGGCAGGTTTCTTTCTTTTCTAGGAAACGCACGGAGGCTGCCTAATAATGTGCACCTACACGGGCTGCAGATGAAAATCAAAGTGTACGTCCTCCTAAGGGCAATATCACCATTGCTGGCTGAGTAAAACCTAAGGATGAAATGCTGCCCCGGATGTCATTTGCATTAGGAATGAAATCACACAATCTTAACAACTCAGTTCAGCCTCTGGAGCACCTCCTATAGGTCCCTGCTCTCCTTCACAGCTGCTGTGCTCCCAGAAGCTGCAGCCAGTGCCTGGGAACATGTTGGTAGTGGATTAAAAGGTTTTTTAAAGGATAAGAGTAGAAGGGAGGTGTGGTAGAACACACCTGTAATGTCAGCTCTAGGGAGGTGGAGGCAGGAGGACCAGCTAGATCCATGGTGAGTTTGCTATGTAGTGAGTTCTAGACCAATCTGGGTGATCTGTGACTGTTTCAGAAGTCAAGGAGCAACAACAGAAAAAACAGCGGAGTGGGGGGGGGCAGTGAACTAGCTCAGCCAGTAAAGGTACCTGCAGTCAAGTCTGCTGCCCTGAGATCCACGTGGTGGGAGGAGAGAACACACATGTGTGTGCGTGTACACACACACACACACACACACACACACACACACACACACGTTTTCACTCAGACTAAATTAACGTAATGAATATTTTAAACAGAAAGAGGGACTGTAGTTAATTCAGTCATGAAGGATTCATACAACAAACATAAGAGCTGGGGTCAGAACCCTGAAACAACCAAACCCAACAACTACAAAGCAAAGTTGTGTAGAAGTAACAACAAATATAAAAGTAACAGAAACCTGGCATGTTTTATTTAGCAGACTTTTCCCCCACCCCCAAGACAGGGTTTCTCTGCAACAGTCCTGGCTGTCCTGGAACTCACTCTGTAGACCAGGCTGGCCTTGAACTCACAGAGATCCACCTGCCTCTGCCTCCCAAGTGCTGTATTTAAAGGCGTGCACCACCACCACCACCACTCAGCAGATAGCAGATAAGGTCTTTTTGTATGAGTGTTCATGTCTATGTGAATGCTCGTGTGTAGGACTTTGTGTAGTGAGTGGTCAGAGGACAACTTCTGGTATGTCACTTTTTAGGGGCAGTCCTTGCTTTTGAGACAGAATCTTACTGGCTGGAACTCAACAAATAGCTAGGCTGAATGGCCAGTGGGCCTCAGAGATCTGCCCGTCTCTGACTCCTCCGTTCTGGAATTAGTGTGTGGGTGTGTGAATGTGTGTGCACACATATGTGTAGTGATGTATTATTTATGATTTATTAAAGCTTGACTGAGGGTTCAGAAAGCAGAGTCAGCCACAAGCCATAGAAGTCAGACACACACCTTTAATCCCAGCAGCGAGAAGCTAGGAGGTGGTGGTACACACCGTTAATCCTAGGACTCAGGATTAAGAAATGGATCTCTGTTGGGTCCAAGGCCACCCAGATCCACACAAGAGTGAATCAGTCTAAAAGAGAATTACAGCTCACACCTTAATCCCAACATTAGGGAAGTGTGTAAGACAGGAGTAAGTATTCAGGGAGGCATTCCTTCTCCAGCCACACTGAGGAGAGGCAGCAGTTTGAGACTTGAAGAACTCGTGCGTGGATCAGTCCTTTCAGCCTGAGCTAGAGGTGAGAACTAGTTGCTAGCTGCTTTGCTTTTCTGAACTTCAGCTTGAAGTTTGAAACTTGAACCCCAATATCAGTCTCTGGGTCTTTTATTTATTTGTGTTACATACGTGTGTGGACAACAGTCTTTAAACTTGGAGTCTTTCTCCAAAAGGAGAGTGAGAGAGAGAGAGAGAGAGAGAGAGAGAGAGAGAGAGAGAAGAGGTAGGAGAGAACAAGAGTCTATCATATCCAACCCGTCAGCCTGGTCTACAGAGTGAGTTCCAGGACAGCTAGTGCTACATAGAGAAACCCTGTCTCCAAAAACCAAAAACTGAAACAAAACAAAAAACACTCATGTGTAATGTTCTTAGTAGATATAAAATCTTTTACTAGAAAGCTTGTATCATTTGGGTTCCTTTTAAGTCTGTCTGTTGATATCCACTCTTGTTTTGCTCATGGAAATAACTGCTTGTTTTCCCTTAATGATCAGTTGTTTTATTACAATATGATTATATTATCTGGGTGCCCCATCACTCACACCTGTAGTCCCAGGGCCTGCAGAGACAGGAGATCAAGGTCAGCCGGTACACAGAGTATCTTATAGGCCCATGGCACTGGGATTCTTCCTGTGCCCAGCGCCAGGACTGAGGAGTGGGAAGAAATGGGAAGCAGGAGTCTCCTGGCAGCAATAGAAACCCTAACGAAGACAGGCACTTCCACAGCCTTACTAGTTCTAGTGTAAACATGATCCAATTTTTCTACAAGGCAATTTGAAAACACCTTCTACCATGGTGTTTTAAAAGGCACCCACCACTGACTCAGCCCCACTTTTTAACAATATATCTGTTTGGCAATTATTAAAGGTGCTCTCAAACTTGGATGTTAATGCTTGTTACAGGGAAAACTGGGAGAAGCCTAACAGATACAAAGTAAAATAAAGGTTATGAACAATGTGTGGTCCATACTTAATTTTAGGAAAAATTGCCAATTTACATGTAGTAGGATAGTGGCTGGTTTTCTCTTTCCCTTTTTTCTGTTTATTTTAAAGCTATTTATAAATCTGTGCATGCCTGAGTCATATGCATCATATATGTGCAGGTCCCATAGAGGCCAGAGAACATTGGATCCCCAGAACTGGACTTACGGGTGGTTATGAACCACCTCATGTGGGTACAGGAACTGAACCTGGGTCCCCTGCAAGAACAGCAAGCTCTCTCAACCTCCGAGTCATATCTCCAATCCTTTTTTGTTTTTAAGACAGGGTCTCATGTAGCCCAAATTGGCCTCAAACTCACTATGTTGCTGAAAATGACTTTGAACTTTTTTCCTGTGTATCCCTGGGTGTCCTGGAACTCATGCTGTAACCAGGCTGGCCTCAAACTCACAGAGATCCACCTGCCTCTGCCTCCTGAGCGCTGGGATTACAGGTGTTCGCCACTGCTGTCCAGCAACTTCTAACTTCTTATCTTCCTGCTGCCACCTCCCAAGGGCTGGAATTATAGATACATGCTACCATGATTTGTCTCTAAAACATTCATTTTCTACACTTTCTAAAATAAACATTGTTGCTGAGAAAGTTCTGGAGTCACATACAGAGGTTTAGAATTCCTTTCTGACACTTATAAACTGTTACCTTGGACTACTCAGTTCCCTCTTCGGTTAAAAACAGTGATGTGCCAGGCATGATGGCATATTTCCTTTAACCCTGGCAGTCAGGAGGCAGAAGCAAGTGGATCTCTGAGACTTTAAGGCCAGTCTGGGCTATAGCAATTGAAGGCCAGTGAAGTTGCATAGTAAGGCCCTGTCTCAAAAAAATAAAATAAAAACAGTGGCAGTAATAAAACTTAATAACATTGGTTATGTTGCCTGACAGTGTCTATGTAGCCACACTGGCCCTAAACTAACTATAGTAAACGAGGCTGGCCTCAAACTTGCAGCAGTCCCCCTGCCCCAGCTTCCTGAGTGTTGGGCAATTATAGGTTTGTTCTGCTACAAAGAACCCTGTTGAGAGAATGAGCGTGGTCAGAGTAGACCATGCTAAGCACTTTCCATTTCTGTGATGATGAATTCTCTATGATCACATAGAATGTATGTCTATTGCTTAGATTGGGCAGCTCAGTTTGAAAAGCTGTTTGAAGACAGGGTCCCACTGTGACTGGGCCTGTCACTTCAGATCACCCTGCCTTAGCCTCTCTGGTGTGGCGATTTCAGGCATGGGCTATTATGCCCAACTAACATTGTACAAAATGTGACCAAAATTCAAACTCCATTACCTAAATCATGCCGTGCTCCAGTCTAGCTTATCAGTGTCTTCTCAAAGTTGGCCACAGGCCACTGAAATTTGAAGCTTCACACGTCTTGTAGAGCTGTTTTCCCAAAACCAGTGTCTTTAAAATGTGTGTTTGTGTGTTTTCTTTCTCAGGGAGGGGCTTTTTACTTTATGGAGCATGTGGCGGATGAGCGGTCCACCTGGAACTACTTCTGGCAACAGGTTCTGGATCCTGCCTGGTACCTTCTGTTTGATGGATGCAATCTAACGAGAGAGAGCTGGAAGACCTTGGAACAGGCTGGCTTCTCAAAGCTGAAGCTTCAGCATATCCAGGCTCCACTGTCCTGGACTTTGGTGCGGCCCCACATCTATGGATACGCTGTGAAATAGTGGGAGGTGTCAGGAGACTTGGACTGCTCCAACGGTTCAAGGCTTCAGTTTTAGATGTAAAATTCTAACTGGGAGAGGTGAAGTCCAATTCATCCTCACAGGCTTCTGTTTAACCGTTTTCTGTATTATTTCCCACCAAATCAGAACAGCTTTGAACTCCCCTTCAAAGGGACCAATGGTCTTTGATTAGCCATTGATAATGAACCAGGGGGAAACTAATAGCTTGCAAGCCGAATAAATAAATACCAGCTAAGTGAAAATCCAGTGTCTGACCAACACAGAAAATCCCCCCCCCCCAAATGAAATCTGAACCTCCTTGCTGCTTTTGAGTCTCTGGTCTGGCTTCCACTGCGCTGGTGTCTCTGGCCAGCAGCTGTCTTTTGGTTCAGGGTTCCACCAACTCCTGCTGCCCTGCACTCAGTTTTTACAAGCGCACCTGATATACCATTGTCACCACAGAACTGCACACGACAGTTGGGATTCTTGGGTTAGTTTCTTATCTAACATGTACTTTGCTAAACACAATAGACTCTAGGCTGTGAATGGGCCCACTGTGGTTAGGGAAAACTGGTACACTATGTGGGAGACTCTGAAAGCAATCTGTAAGTGCAGTCAGCAAGGCCTGGGGGCAGATTCCACTGGTCCTGAGCCAGGTGTGGTGGTGCACGCCTGTAATCCCAGCAGTAGGGAAGCAGAGGCAATAGGACTTCTGAGCTCTAGGACAGCCTAGTCTACAGAGTAAGTTCTAGGCTACAGAGAAAATCTTGAGAGAGAGAGAGAGAAAGAGAGAGAGAAGCAATTCCACTGGTCTTGAAAGAAAACCATGGACATCATTGTGTACCTACTGAGAGTGTGTCTAGGTGGGCCCATTGAAGGGTTTAAGCTACAGTTTTGTATGTATCTAAACAAATGCATATTTTCTGAGATGATTTTGCAAAGTCCTATTTTGAATATCAAACCAAAAATACATATTCATTTAAGGAATGGAAATAAAAAGTTTCTACACTTGCTGGCTTGGCTTCATTTGTGTCTTACTGACTCTAAGGAAACATCCCCTTAGACAATTAAGGGGATGCATTTGAACACACAGGTGTGTATTTCTGCAGCCAGGCATGATGTACAAATACAAGGGATGGTCTTTGATGCTGTGACTGAAGGGGAGGGGCTTGCTTATTCTGGCTTACAGTTTGAAAGCATACAGTCCTTCTAGGAGGGGAGGTATCCTGGCAGGAGCATGGACAGCTTGTCCATACAAGGGATGGTCTTTGATGCTGTGACTGAAGGGGGAGGGGCTTGCTTATTCTGGCTTACAGTTTGAAAGCATGCAGTCCTTCTAGGAGGGGAGGTATCCTGGCAGGAGCATGGACAGCTTGTCACATTATCTATCTCACAGTCAGGAACCTGCGAATCGACAGAACTGGGACCAGACCATAAAAATCCAAGGACTCATTTCCTTCAGCCACTAAAGATTCCAGTCTTCCAAAGCAGCCCCACTGACTAGGGAGTAAATGCTCAGGCCTACAAGCCTAAGGAGACATTTAGCATCCAAACAACCACACAGCTTGTAGATTTTAGCCATTTTGGAAGAATCAGTGGGGTGTGGGTGTGTGGTTATGACTTTTTTTTTTTTTTTTTTGGTTGTGGTACCATGTTAGGGATTGACCCCAGGGCATGCCAGGCAAGGCTATACCACTGACCTAGACTCCTGTCCTAGTAGAATTTTGGGGGTTTTGTTTTGATATAGGGTCTCACTATGGATCATTGGCTGCCTGCCTCTGCCTCCCGAGTGCTGTTCAAAGCTGTGTGACACCACAGCCATCTAGAATTGAGTTTTGAAAGATTTGAGTCCAAGGATCCTGCTGGTGAATGCAGAGCAGAAAGAAGGCGGCTCATGGCTTGGCCTCTTGAACACAAAGTCAGTACTGGGGGGGCTAGGATGTCTCCCTCTTTAGCTCTGGAAGATGGGCTACCTTCTCTCCTAAAGTCAGCTCTTCCTTTACCCACACATTTTATTACCAGGTTACACTGGTCTGATGGCTGAGAGGCTCGCAGAGGCACAGGTGTACTTCACAAAATGTACTCATCATGTCAGAAGGTGTCTTAGGGTTTCTATTGCTGTGAAGAGACACCATGACCACAGCAATTCTCATAAAGAAAACATTTCATTGGGGAGGCTGCCTACAGTTTCAGAGGTTCATTCCGTTATCATCATGGTGGGGAGCATGGCAGCGTGCGGGCAGATGTGGTGCTGGAGAAGCAGCCAAGAGTCCTACGTCTTGCAGGCAACAGAAAATGATCTGAGACACTGAGCAGCACACTCAGCATAGGAAACCTCAGAGCCTGCTCTCAGTGACACACTTCCTCCAACAAGGCCATGCCGACTCGAGCAAAGCCGCACCTCCTAATAGTGCCACTCCTTATGAGATGATGGGGGCAATAACTTTCAAACTACTACAGAAGGTAATGGTCCAGTACAGAGGACTAGCTAAATCCTTGTCTGAAGGGCATGGCACACAGCCTCACTTCTGCTATAGAGCGATTAGGCTGGAGAAATAAATACTTCAGTTTACTACAGTTGCCACCTGCTACGGAGGTTTCAGAAGCCCCAAGCCCCCAAACTGCATAATCTGACACCCGTGTTGGCATATTACAGATTTCCTCCTCAGCTGAAGAAATATTTAAAACTACTCTAAATAGGGCCAGAGAGATGACTCAGCAGTTTAGAGCACTTGCTGAACTTGAAGGGGACCAGGATGTGAGTCCCAGCACCCACATGGGGTGGCTCACAACCACATGTAACTCCAGTTGCAAGGCTCTGATGCCCTTTTCTGGCTTCCATGGGCACCTACCTGCTTCTCGTCTGCTCCCTCACAGTCCCATGGCTAACATGTGACTGCGTCCATGCCTGAGGCTTTACAAGGATGTTGGAAATAAAAACTCAGCTCCCCACTCTTGTACACTCAGCCATCTCCAGCCCAGGTCTGAATTTCTTTATGTAGGCTCCTTCCATTTCAAGTAAAGCCTGAATTATACTTTTCTATGTTACCTCAGTTTAATTCTCAGTATCCTCTGGGAAGGTAGGAAGATAAAGGGAGAATTTTTCAACCCCTATAATGTTATTTGTTGACTTTGATCTTGAGCAAGCTACTTTTTTATTTTTATTTTTTTTTGAGACAGGGGTTCCCAATGTAGCTTTGGCTGTCCTGAAACTCAATTTGTAGACCAGGCTCGTCTCAAACTCAGAGATCCCTCTGCCCCTGAATCTTTGTTTCCTTCCCCGTTAGTAAATGGGGTTATCATCTACCTAAAGGGCTGTGATAAGAAACAATGGAATGCCAGGTGTGGTGGTGTACACATTTAATCCCAGAATTTGGGAAGCAGATCTGAGTTTGAGGCCAACCTAGACTACATAGTGAATTTTCCTTTCTCAAAACAAAAAACACAGAATGAAGTAATATATTTGATGCATGCTGAGGTCTTGTTTGAGACAGTCTCACCATGTAGCACAGGATGGAACTCTTAATCTTGCTGCAACTGAAGGGACCAGCTCCCCATTTCAGCAGCCATAACAGCCAAACATGTACTTGTCTGACCTTGTCTAGGTCACTAGGAGGTCAGATGCCTGCGTTGTGGCAAGGAACCAATCAGAAGTTAGCTGGTGGTGCTATGCTTTATGGCTCTGAGTGTGCTTTATGGACAAGTGCACAGCAGAAACGTACAGAGCATAGCAACCACCCTGGGAGGGCCTATGGGCCATAACAACCAGTTGACCAATCAACACAGGGCAAGTCCTCCAAGCCTGGAGGCACACCAATCCTGAGCCTGTGCGTACCCCTAGACTCCCCTTACACCGCCCTATAAGATCTCTATGCAGTAGCTTCGAAGCGTCTTTCCTAGCCATCCGCCGTGGTGGATGGATGAAAGACCCGAGCTAACATGGGGTTAGCTCGTTAAACAACTACAATAAAGCCTCTTGCTGTTTGCATCAAGTTTCTGCCTCTACATGGTGTTTGGGGTGGCCGTGGTCCTGGGCTGAGATCCTGGGGGCCTGAGCCTCCGGGGGTCTTTCACAACCATCTGAGTGTAGGGATCACAGGTATGCCTCACCATGCCCAGTGCTCATGCACACACATGTACACCCTCATGCATGCATGCACGCACACACACCCCTCGTTATTTTTTCTTGTGGTACTGAGGGTTGAACTCTAGGCCTAGTGAATAAGACACTCATGAGTGAGCTATACCCCTAGCTTATTTCTTATTTAACTGATGCTTAATATTGAGTACCTACTGTGTGTTCTACTCTTGAGGGAGGGAGCAGTTGTCTCTCTAGCCATCTCTAAGACAATACATAGATATCAGGAAATGCTTTCCTGTCGACCCAGGGCATCTTTGAGATGAATTCCAAAGGATGGATGGAGAATATTTCATGCATGGGTCACTTGGGCTACAGGTAAATGAAAGGAAGAAATTCATGTTCAAGAAAGTGAAGGCAAACCAGGCAAGATGTCTGAGTGGGCAGAGGTGCTTGCTGTCAAGCCTGGCAACAGAGTCAGTCCCCAGAATCCATAGCAGAAGGAGAGCCAACTCCCAAAAGTTGCCCTCTGACCTCTACACAGCAGGTGCCTGCCCACATGCAGATAAATAAGGAAGCCTGAGGTCATCAAGTCATAGTGGCACCGCCTCAATCCCGGGCACTCAGGGGGCAGATGTAACATGGGCAGCCAAGGCTACATAATGAGACTCTGTCTCAAAACAAAACAGGCAAGCAGGGCAATGTGCCAGAGCCTAAAGGAAGGGCAGGTTTTGTGTTCACAGCCATTTCCACAGATCTCTTGAGAGTGGTAGGGCTATGAGCCCCAGAAGTATTTTGAACTATCATCCCCCACTCCCACTCCTGCAAACATTCAAATGTCTTATACTTATTCCCAGGTTCTGATGCTCTGTGTCCCCTTAGTTGAAAGGGAAGCAAACATTACATAATTGTTCCTTTTGTACTCTTGGCCCCAGAGCCAGCCCTTCCTCTTAGTGTGGCTTTGAAAAGCACAGTACTTAGCTGAAATTAAACTCCTATTTGTCAGTTAAAGCAACTGACATGCAATGAATCGTGGAACACTAATATCAACAAAAGCAAGAGAGAGAGAGCTAGTCACTTAATTTCAACATTTAAAACCCAACCCGGACTGCATAAGAGAATCATAGGAATTCCCTAATGAGCTGTGGAGCCACTGGCTCCTCCCTGTACCAGAGAACAGGCAGAGGTCATGGTGACCAAGGGCCAAGGACCAAGACAGGTCACTGCACCCAATTCTTCAGTTTAAAAATAATAACAGTGACTAAGCAAAATAGTATTTTTCTTCTAAAGAAAAACATTTGAGAGACTGGAGAATTATACTGGGATGTGTGCATAAACTCCAAAAATTACTAGTCAAAATGTATCATTTCTAAAAGTAAAACAAACAACAACAAAACCTAGGCAGGTATGGTGGCACAGTCCTAACATGTTACAACTCAGGAGGCTGAAGAAGAACGATGGTTAGTCTGAGGCTAGCTCAGGCTACAGTGGACATTTAAAGCTAGGCTGGGCTGTAGAGCAAGACCCTGCCTAAAAAACAAACAAAAACCCCATGAGCCTGTCAAATGCATGGCACTCATATCCATGCCCTGTGTGGACAGACCCTTCATCCCATGCCTGTAACAGCTCACAATACAGATTTCCAGGCTCGGTGGCATGCCTATAATCTCAGCAGTGCTCTGGAAGCTGAGGCAGAACAATGGCAACTTTGAGGCTAGCCCGGGCTGCATATCAATACTCTCCCTGCCTGAGAAACTAAAAGTCCCTTTCTTTATACTACACAGTGACTTTAACAATTTCATGATTCTCTGACTTGAAGGCAGGCTTATTTATCTGTTCCACTGGTCCCTTTGGTTGCAAACCACCACCTATGTCATCCCTGGTCTGTACCCCCACTACAACACCTTCGGCTCTTCAGTGACCCTGGACGACAG